TCAGCCTGGTACAGAGCGAAGATGAGAGCTGTGACAGGCACCGGACGCTTCCCAACAGCCCTGCTTCAGAAGGGCGCCGTTCGGCCTCCAGCTGTTCCTGTCAGCAGTCGCCCAAAGCAGCCAGGGCTCATGGCTCTTCCCAGAGCAGCCCGTTCAGCAGCCCGCCTCAAATCCCCAGCGCCTTCGCCAGCTCTGCCAGCTCTGAGGAGGACCTGCTGGCCAACTGGCAGCGTATGTTTGTGGACAAGGCACCCCCCACCTCAGAGCGAGTGCTGATGAACCGCACAGCTTTCAGCCGTGACACTGCTCCCGAGCTCCAGAAGAGGTTCAGCCGCTCCATGCAGGAGCTGGGTAGAGCAGCCTCGGCTTACTCGGATGGTGAGGAGTCTGCGCAGAGCTGCAGCTGGACCGTGAGCCGGGACTCGAGTGTGGACACAGACAGCACTGAGTCCAGAGCCCGCAGGAGCCAGTTCTCCTCAGACTATGGTACGGATTTCTCCCAGGATGAAGCCCAGAAGCTGTTGCAGGAAAGCAGTGGAGGCACTGCTGAGCCTGGAAGCCCCTCACCAGAGAAGCACAAGGACTATGTGGACCTTGGCTTGCCGGAGAGCCCAGCTGAGGAGAGACAGATGTTGCTCCAGGGAAGCAAGGAGAGCAACCAAGGAGGTGCCCAGGAGGAAAGTGGAGAAGGCAGGGTCAAGCCACCCTACAGTCGGCCTCACCGCAGCCCCAAGAGAATGGGGGTCCACCATTTACATCGCAAGGACAGTCTGACACAAGCCCAGGAGCAGGGCAACCTTCTCAGCTGAGGCAGGGCAAGAAGCAGCTACATGCTGCGGAGCTGTGAGATGCCTCCATCTGTCCACCTTCTGAGGGAGAAACCTCCCATAGTACCCTCCTCACAGGGTGGGGGGCTCTGCTCTGAAATTTTATTATTCTCTTGTTTTGCTACCTGGAAGAGCTGAGGTCCCCCTTCCCTGCCACCTCAGACCCACAGTACTAGCACACACAGTGTGCAGAAGCACACCCACTGCCCTGGCACACTCGCAGCTCTCTTCACAGCCTCAACTGGTGCCTGTACCGGAGCTCGTTCTTGGTACCCCTCGTCCTGGTGCCTGTGCCTCTTCATGCTTGCCTCTTCCTTTCCCCTTCCCACTCAGGTACCTGAGGCCTTGAGTGCTCTCATGCTGGTTGCCCGCAGCTGCTCTGCTCTCTTTTAACTTGTGCCAACAGGGCAGAGAGTGCCTGTGTGATGGTGTCTGATTCCTGGGGAACCCCCAGGGGCCATGAGTGGGGCACGAGGGCTCTCCCAGCGGATGGCTGTGAGCCTCTGGGGATGTGCTGGGATAGCTGGTGTCTCATTTTTCTGCTGGGTTTTGTTTCCCCCAGTTGCCCTCTGGGTGATTCTCCAGAATCTGCCTCTGCAGGTCCTCAACGCTTGGCTCCTGTGTTGGGCTCAGCACCCGGCCCCCACTGAGGCAATACAGGGATGCCGGTGCCGTCTGCCGAGGTGGTTCGGGGAGACGCTGCCTGCTAGGCGCTGGGTTTGTGTTTGTGTGTCTCCTCCCTCACACCTCTTCCCCCGCTCTCTGTGCTGTTGTTTTGTTTGAACGGTGCTGATGCTTTGCTCTTGGGTGGGCTTCTTTCTTCTTTCCAAGCCTTTGGTTTTGGGGTGTATTGTGTTTTCTTTCTCCCCACCCTGCATAAACAGACACAGCCGTTGGCAGCCAGTGCGATGCTTGCATTGAGGGTGTGTTGAGGCTCAGCTCTGAGCTGCGCTTCCCTCTGATCCCGGCCTCAGCCTGCAGAAACCCCTCTAGACTCAAGAACAAGGTCTTGCCCCAGGCGAGCAAGGTGTGAAGGACGCTACCGGGCTTTTCTGGGCAGGGCTGGGTGCAGGGCCGGCAGGGCTGCGAGGGCAGCGTGCTGAGGAGCTGCTCCCTGTAGACACACTACCTCACAGCTCAGCAGCAGCCCTTTGCCAGGGTCTCCTCACACGCCCCCTTCTCTGGGGGGCTCCAGGCTGGCTCTGGCGCCTCTCTGGGGCCTTCCCTTCTGGATAGGGCCTCTCTGCGTGTTTTTCCTAGTGTAGCGTGATCTTGTGTGACTTTTCTCAGTCTTGTGTGATCAGTGTCTTGTTGGGGGGGGCGGGAGTGGGGAGGGGAGAGGTCTGTAGATGTAGGTATTTTTTTGAGGGCTTGCAAAGCCCAGGCATCCTGGTTTAATTTTGTCTCGTGCCCTCGTCTGTCTGGTGTTTCTTGGCTCCCCTGGGGGTGTGAGGCAGAAAACAGCCTGGTTCCCTGTGGCATGCCCCCCTCAAACCTCTCTGGCTCTGTCCTCAGCCTCTGCTGTCTGTTTTTTGAGTTGGGCTTGTGTTATCCTCCCATCCTACTCAATGAGGGCTCTCCACTGGGCTGTAGGAGAGCAGCCTTCTGTTCAGGAGGGAGCTCCCTTTTATATACTTACAGTAAGATATGCAGCCAAGAGCTCCCTGGGAATCTTGCTCCCTTCCCCAAACCCCCTTTTCTAAGCAAAGGGCCTGCAGCTTGCAGCTGGGGCCAGCCAGGGCTTCAGCTCGAGCCTGGAGGCTCCAGGGCCTGTGAAAGGGAGCTGCCGGCCTCTCTGGCCACTGTGTAGGTTGCTTTACATACCCTGGCTAGGAGCTGCTGCCTGCCTGCTCTTGTTCCCCACCTCCAACAGTTGTGAGCTGGATGCCACCCTCTGGTGGGGAGGTGGGACTCAGTATTTCACTGCAGTATTTGGCTTGATACTTGTGCAAACAGGCTGGTGCTGAGAGTGGGAGCCGCCGCTCAGCCTGCAGGGCATTCATCTCCCCTGTCCTGAAGATGGTGGTGGGGCCCTTGCATTTGCTCTCATCAACTGCTCCACTGCTGCATTTCTGCTGCTGCTGTGTTGCTGAGGACCTGCACTTGCAGCAGCTGCCAGCTCCTACCTTGCAGCCATCACCTGGGCTTGGATGCTCACTGAGTGAGCTCCTCTGGCTCTGAGGCTGCTGGTGGCCTGCCTGTGGGACAGCACAGCCACTTGAGCAGTGCGGGAGGGAGGCATTACCCTTTGGGGCTCAGCCCTATCTCTCCTGAATCCTGGCATGCCAGTCAGGGGACAAAACCCACTCTTGCTGAAGCAGCTGGTGCTGGGCAGAGCCAGCCTCCCTCTGCTTTTGGTCAAGGCAGACTTAAACCAGTGGAGAAATGGAGGGGTGGCAAAGGGGTGCCCAAGGCCTCACTTCACAGCATTACACTGCTGGCAGAGTTTGAGGAAGAGCAATGGCCACCAGAGGAGCAGAGCCATTTCCTGCGGGGCAGGCACAGTGCCTGCCCTCTGCACTCCTCACCGCCAGCAGTATTGGCTCTGGGGCCTTGAGCTGACCCCACTTTCAGTGTCCCAACTCCAGACTGTTAATCTGTAACTAATGTGTTTTTTTCTGAAATTTTCAAACTGATGTATATTTTAAGACCAGAAATAAACTATTTTAAAAGTAGGTGCTAATGGCTATAGCGTTCTCTCTTGCTTAAGACCTGGACTGGATCAATCCTGAGCATGTGAGGGAGCAGAGCCTGTTGCGGTATAGTGTCCTGAGTCTGCTGAAATGCACTGGCTACCCATTAGCTCTCCCAGGGTGAGTGATTCTGTGAGCTTTCCAGGAGGCTCTGAATTCACTGATCATCCTGAATGCCCACTTCAGTAGCAGCCTGGTTCAAGGTGCCTGTGCAAATCCAGCCATCTGTGCTGGAGAACAGGCATAGTCCCAGGCAAGGAGTGATGTGTGGGATGGGCAGTGTTCTGTAATTGTATCCAAGCTCTGGAAGCTGATCTCTGGGTCTGAATGTACTGTCAGCTCAAAGATCAGACTGGGCCTGCAGACCAGAATCCATTGTTCACAGCAGCACTCCTGTCACTTTTGTCTCGGAAGCTGACAACAGCTTAAAAAAAGGGCAGATTATTTAACCAGGCAAGTTTGAGAAATGTTAAAACACAATGTAGGCAATTTTCACACTACTTAATGGCTGTAAAGGCTAGGCTTGTCCAAACCTTTGCAGTAAAGCTTGTGCTGTAAGCAGCCTCAGTGTTGTTCATAAAATTCTGCCAATGCTGTTTCAAGTATTTTGCTGGCTGTCTTTCCTTCTGATCTGTGTCTTGGCAAAGACCTCCACGTGCTGATCTAGAGTAGGATGAGGTATAGCTAATTCTTTTAATACTTGTTTTCTTGAAGCCCCAGCTTGGAGAGTCATATGTGAGTATTGGTTCTCTCTTTCAGTAGCTGAGTTATGTGGGAATGTGTAACATACCCCCTTCCCAGAGGTTGTAAGTTTTATAATTCTAGTGCCGGTATTTTGTGGTTTTATTTTGTGTGGGGAGGGAGGCTTGGGGTTGGGCATACCCCAGACAGGAAGCCCTCCAAACATGAGAGGGAGGAAGTTCCTGGAGGATACTGATACAGATAGTTGGAAGCGTTTCCTTTTCATGTTAAATGGTGCTGCAGAGGTCAGAGGGCTCTGATGAAATTTCTTCCATCTCCGAAGTTATGCTGCCTGTGCCCTTCTGATCTAGGCGCTGGCAAAGCAGAAGAGTTTCCTGTTTCTTTGTCCCCATAATTAATGATTTTATTCTGTGTTCCCTTGAGTTGCAGCTGCTGCCACAATTTAATCTCCAGCCTAATCTGAGCCTTGAAACATAATCTTCCTTGCCTTGCTCCAGCAAGGACCGCTGAAACCTGCAGCGCTGGTGCGGGCTAAAGCCTTCGCCCGGGCCGGGCCGAGCTCCCCGCAGAGAGCCTCCGGCCCGCGGGGAGGCCCCGGGACAGCGAACCGGGGGTAGCCCCTACCTCCCCCCGCGCCAGGCGAGCGCCGCGGGGAACCGGCCGCCCTGCGAGGGGCGGGGAAAGGCGGCGGACAGCGCG